ATATATATATATATATATATATATATATATATATATATATATATATATATATACATATATACATATATATATATATATATATATATATATATATATATATATATATATATATATATATATATATATATATTTATATAGAGCTGCGATCTAATTGTTATTCGTGGATGTGATTGTGGGTTTGTGTGCACGTGTGATTGTGTGGTTAGGTGAGTGTATGTGTGTTTGCACATGTCTTTTTTGTTTGTATATTCAAGTTTCATTTATTCAGTTTTACTATATATCCATAACATATACACTCCTCAATGAAGTAATCTATTTTATTTCTCTATTAACAATCCAAAAAGGCATCGCTTTACTTTCTAATGTTTTCATTTCTGTTTTCATATAATTCATGTTGTATCTCTCAGTATTCTCCCTATGATCAGTAAGGTCTCCATGTATCATCAAGTGAAAAGCAAAATGAACACTACTACTGCAATACTATAGAGTAATGAAATAACACTATTATTTAAAATAATTTGCGCATGTAAAATGTGTCGTTGTAATCAGATGTCGAATAGCGTGCTGGCAGTGACTAGCGACTGGTTTGATAAAGACCATCAAACCCTCGAATATATTTTGGCTAGATAATGCTTGTGGACTTCCTGAGGGAGATTTGCTATAAAAGAAGCTCTATGGCTCTATCTTAATGTAGTTAATATAGCTGTTGACCTTTGCTGATGAGCTAAGCCTAACATTTTGCAATGATGCTGCCCATACGCTTGCTTTAATAACCACCCAGCACTTAGGTATGTCACTGGCATTGATTATGATAATTTCACTTTCATTTTGGTCATTAGTGTCCATGGTCCTATTATTTCCGTGTAAGAAGCTTGAATTGCCATACACTTATGTTAACACTGAATTTCACGGTACATACCTGGCCTCAGTCACACCTCGTTTTTAAACATTTTTAGGATTAAGTTATGCCTATTTTAAAATCTAATAAAGTGGTTTGCAATATGGAGCTTTGGTGTCCGATTACAAGTTTGAAATCTTTAAAAAAAAAAATCTTTACAAGTTTGGCCTCAGTGTCAGTGCCGACCTTTTATGCAATAAAGATATACCTGAACAAAACATTCCATAGGACTATGGTGATTCTTAAAACCAGAATATTTCTAAGAACATTATTTTTACATAATTCATATAATATTCATACATAAGCTTTTTGCCTGCGATCAGTTGCAGAACTTTAGTCGCGACAACTTTTGCTTTCAATCATTTTGGAAAACCAAATAACGAGAATATGGTGCAGAAATTTAACATTCTGGTTGCTGCAACTGCTAGTTACGAATTCTTGCTACAGTTGCAAATATCAGGTGTCAAGTGTGATCAAGGCTTTGTGATTGATATTTATAAACTTACTTGCGGTTCGTTTTGAATAGACATTTCGAATTGCGTGGAAGTTTATTTACTCTATATCAGACATATTTTCATTGAGAGATAATACAAAATTCTGTTTGGTATACTTAGATTGGTAATGTCGGTATCCTTGATAGGAATTATAGCAATTAGTTACGATAAATCCTAAGACGAAATTCCTTTCACATTTTCATAAATGTAGGTATTAGATCTTTCTCATAAACTCAAAACAAAAATCAAGTTCTCTGTCAGTCGCATGTTCCTCTCTCTCTCTCTCTCTCTCTCTCTCTCTCTCTCTCTCTCTCTCTCTCTCTCTCTCTCTCTCTCTCTCTCTCTTTCTCTCTCTCTCTCTCTCTCTCTCTCTCTCTCTCTCTCTCTCTCTCACAACTGCATAATTCGGGCTTTTCCCATTTCTTTCCTAATTCACACGCATTCCACACACAGACACACACACACAGACACACACACACACACATAAACGCACGCACGCACACATACACTTCCTGTCTGTTTATTTGTATTTTTATTTTCATTTTTATAGCACACGGACACGCGCGCGCGCGCACGTACACACACGCACGCACACGCGCATGCACACACACACACACTTTCTGTTTGTTTATCTTTTTATTCACTTTCCGTTTTATAGCACTAAGACCACAAAACAGTCAATTACATTTTGTTCGTGCTTAAGGACGCGTGCCGAAGTCAGGTACACGAACGTTATAATTAAGGAATGAAAAGAGTAAAGCAAACATGTGGAGGCGCTGAGCTGACCACCAGGTAAACGGACCTTCATGGAAATCAGGATTCATCGCAAGTTATAAATCAGTCAAACAGCCTACGCTAGGCATGAGGGCGGCGAGGGCGGGGGGCGGAGCAGGGGCATGAGACATCGGGGGAGGGAGGGGAAGGAGGGGGTAGGGGGAGGGGGGGAGACAGTCGACTACTACCGTTAGCTGCAAGTCCGGAATGTCGGTTGGACGAGGTGAATAAACAATAAGCTGCCCCGCAAATAGTGGATTTTGACATGTGCGGATGCCACGGTTTCGAAGGGCTGGTGTCAACGAGTATTGAGGCTCGCTGGCGGGTCGCGGAG